GAGGGGGGGGGGGGGGGTTCGTCGGGGAGCCGAGAAGCGGGAGACGCGCCCCGGGACCCAGCCAGCACGAAGATGCGAACGCCGGCCCAGCCCACCAGGCGCCGCGCTGGTCACCCCCGAAACCGGGGGCGGGGGGGGGGGGGATATCGCCGTTCAGGCGCCTGCATGCTTCTCCGGAAGGGCGCTGAGCGCGCTACCACAAGGTGAGGTGGAAAAAATAACAATGCTCTCTGCGTCCCATACCAGCATTCCCCTTCGCCCTCCCGGCCTCCCGCCGGTTTTTGGTACCACCCCATCACGCCCCGCGCCCCGCGCCCCGCACCCCCGGCCTGCCCCTGCCGCCGGCCGGCATCTGGGCGGGGTCGAGCGACGCAACAACGTGAGGAATCTCTGGCGCCGTGGGGACGTGTGCACACCGCAAGCGAACCTCCCCCCCCCCCCCCCGGGGGGGGGTGAAGAGCGGAACACCACCAGGTCAAGCCGCTGACTGGGAGGCGTGTGGCCGCGGCCCCGGGGCCCGGAGGCCGCGACCCATGTGTCAGCCGGTCGAGGCCGAGTTGGCTCTCTCTGTGCCCAGGGGGGGTGGTGTGCGACCGAGCGCAGAGAACCCCGGGCTTACCATGGGCCTTCTCTTCTGAGAAGATCCCCTCCCCCCTTCCCCCAGAAGAAAAGACCGGCGCCCCCCCCCCCCCCCCCCCCGCGGATCCGCTGCTGTCCATAGGCTGGCCCCAGCGGCCGACCGACCGGCACAAAAGGGTAGGCGCGGGAGGCACACCAGAGGTCAAATCCAGGGAGAGGGAGAGAGAGAGAGAGGCAGGGACGACTGGCGAGGCGCACACCGCGTCTGGTGACAAGTCGACGAAGAGGATAAAATGATGTGCCTGCCCCGGGGCAGCAGGTTGCGGCTGCGGCCGCCGACGGGTGCCGCATCGCGCCCGCCCAAACCCTGAGGTATCTCAAAATGTCCCCCCGCCTGGCAGCCGCATTTCTCAGGCTTTCGGCCTCCGGCGCGCCAGCGGACGGGCACCAGCCTTGGCGCCCTGGGCGGGATCTCCGACCTGCATGTCTCACGCCGGGGGCCGGGGGGGGGGGGG